TTGCATTATTATATATATTATTTCCATTATAACAGAGACTCGAATAAAATACACACCACTTTTTTAATATAAGCAAGGTGTGAACAAAAAATTAATGAAATGAAATTCTCCGTTTCTCAGCAAACTGCAGGAAATTTCCTCAAGGACCACTTCTTCCGAATTCCGTAAAGGGGAGCCAAAAATCTGAACAATTCCGAGCACAAAAGAATGAGAGCGAGGAATTCTCGTGCAACCCCTTCTGTCCCATCGAGCGCCACTCAAATTTTTGAGGAGCCAGCACAAATTTTCCATCTCTTGGCGTTGCATCCTTTTCTCTTCCACATAATAGTGCATCTCGCTCTCAAAAGTTCTGCGAATGCATATTTTACTTATCAAAATTTTAGAGAAGGAAAGAGATTGCCCAGAGGTGCGTGCGGGAAAAAGAAAAGCAAGCTTATTTGGTATGCACGCGGCGCTCGCTGTTTAGAATTGGGAGAGATGTGTGTGTACAGAACGGCTCTGCCTGCACCCCAATAATATACAACACACTGCACGGCCACTTACGGGATAACCCCTTCTGGTGGTGGAGCAGCAGCAGTGATGATGCTTGCATTTTGACACTGCACGAGAGGCGCAAAAATAGACGCCGAGGGAGGAGAGCGAAAAGAAAGAAAGAGAGCACGACAGAAGCATCTCTTCTCCAACACCAAGAGCCAAACGCGCAAATTTTCACGCAGTTTTCTTTCGCCAGCTCGGAGGAGTGCAAAAGCTCTTTAAATATAAAATATAAACTGGATGCAATTGAAAAAAAAACAATAGGGAGGTGGCAATAGGGATACAATTTAAAACCATGCTGCGGTAAATGATCTAAATAATCATTATAATTCTGCATTAACTGCATAATTCCTTTTGCCAGTATCTCCTGATTTCGGAAAATTCCTCCTAAATTCGCTTTAAAACAAAAAACAGCTTCTTCTCTACCTGACCAATAAATACAAATAAAACTCCATTAAATTTATTATCTTTACGAGTTGAATATAAAATTATTAAAATTTAATTCTATTTGATGTATATTTTTATATAGTAGTCCCACTGACTTTTATTCAACTTTTTCCCTCTGCTTTTTTTCCAAAGCGATCAAAGTGCGTCTGCGAGCGCACAACCCTATATGAAATCAGCCTCCTCTCGATCCAGTCAGCAGAAAAAACGCGGCTGCAAAAATCGGGACAATGATGGCGGTGCCGAGTGCATTGTTGCCGAGAGAGCGGCTCTCTTTCTCATACGGAAAATGAGTATGTGTGTGTGTGCGAGTGAGAGAAAAAAGCTGATGTGTGTGTACGTATTTTTTCTGCGCTCGGCACATTGAGAGAAGAAGAGAGCCGAGCACACATATAGTGGAAGAAAAAGCAGAGAGATGCATGCGAAAGGGTTCACGGCGTGCAAAGAGAGGAGGGAGAGTGGCGGCGACGGCGGGGCAACCGTCGGGGCCGCCGCCGGCCGCCGCTGGGGCCGCCAAAACCCGCGCCCCCGGCAGTTCCTCGCGGCCGGGCCGTCGTATTTCTTGGCGACATATTTTAGCCGGCGGAGAGCAAAAGGCGGCGCTGCTGCATTTATGTGCAGGCACAAAGGGCATATTGTTTCTAGCGTGCAATCACTCTCCTGCACTGTACCCGCCGCCAGCATAATTAGCCTAATTGCAGGTTCTTATATCGCTAAGTTGCGCTGCTGCTGCTGCTGCGGGATTATCATGCGCGCAGTCACTCGTCTCGCGCGCGCGATCAATTCCAGTATTATTTGTACCGACTGACTGACTGATAGCTTTGTGTGCGATTTGCCACCCCAGAGATGATAATAAGCATAAATTCATGCGCGAAAATTGAATTGATTAACTCAAATCTTATGCAACTGCAAACTTCTTTTAATTGCTTGAACACAAGGAGAAGGAATCGGTGATATCTCTTAATAATTTTTTATAATTTTGCAAAAAATATCGAAATGATTATGTACTGCAAAATAATTTTTCAGATACAAATAGTTTAATTTAATCTTTTTAATTTTTTTGTAAATTACACCCTTCAGTTTTATATCGTTTCTAATCTATTTCGATAACAATGCAAATTTGTTCAGTTTGAGCACAAATTATTATTAATTTTATGCGACAATTAAAAACTGTCAAGTGACAAAATTAATAAAATATTTAAATCAGTCGCATTAAACTGGTGTATTTTAAATTTATCATCATATTTATGACGTCGTTAGAAAAATCAGCCAGTCTTTGCGTAAAAGAATATAGTTAAAATTCATAAATTAATTGAGCTCAAGCTTAATTGGAAATTTTTGTGACAGATAATATTTATTTTTTTTCGTCAAAGACTGCTATTTTTAGGGAAGGAGATGCAGTTTTAAATATGTTATTCAAAAATGATCTTTTTTTAAACATTTTAAAAGTTGACAGTGAATTACTAAAATAGTTTTTATATTGCTCCATATTATTATGATCTATTAGAGTTATGCATCAGATGCATGAATAAAAATTGATAATATTGAATGTCACAAGGTAAGTTGGTTCTATTAAAAAATCTTATTATTGAGACTATTATTTCTCGTAAGAAATTAATTTTAAATATTTTAAGTTAATATGTGTTATTGATAACAGTATATTTAAAATTTATATTTGATTAGGTTTGAGTAAATATTATGAAAAAACCTACTTTGTTATAAAGGAAAAAAACATAAATTTATGCTTATATTATTATAAATTAAACATAATAATATATAAATAATGTAAATTAAATATAAAATTGTGTATATAAATTTAAAATTAAATTAATAACAAAAAAATAATTTAACTTAGAAAAATTGAAAATTCACAAAACAATGCCTTTTTATGCTGTCTTGAAATGTACTATGTTGAATAATTAAATATTACAAATAAAAGATTCTCTAATGAAATCAATTCCAGATTTAAAATAACTTCTGCAATTCAATTAAACCCCTTCTTTCCCCTTGCTTCTCATTATTTCATTTTCATCCACCATGATCATGACGGACAATGCGACGGTATGTCTGCTGCTAAATGAAAATCAGGCGCGAAACACAATCAATTTTCTGCACAGCGGCGGCGACGGCGGAGAGAGAATTAATAACAGCTCTCTCGCACTGTGCGGCCCGACAAAGGCCTAATTAGGCTTTATGTTCAATGCACATTAAATTAAATCGCATTATGCTTTAATTAAAAGCGCACACCCTGGTTCTCGTAAACGCCACCGCCGTGATTTTCCAGCATGGATTAAATGTATAGAAAAAAGAGGCTGCGCAAACCCCCTATATATATGCTTAATAACGATTAAACGCTGATGCAGCGGCTTTTTCTTGACGCGCAAGAGCTCGGCGGCAACACTTTCCACCTACATGAGGCTAATTACTCTTTCAGGTGACTCGCTCATGGATGCCGAGGGGTGCGAGTCTGGCGCGCAATTTGCAGCGCACACCGGCTTTTTACACCCACCAGCATATTTTTTTCCTACATAAATCGCAGCCCGCAAACGCAAATCCAAAATACAGCACACGCTCCATTTCAATCAAAATCGGCTGGGGTTGAAAATTAAATGACTTTTCAATTTGCGCCGGAGGGTGCAGGCTTTTTGATTATGCGCGAGTTGCAACGTTAAAAAAACCTCTTTCTTACAAGTATGCAACTCAGAATAAAAAGAGGCAGGTTTGAGATCAGGTTTTAATTAAATAAACATGTTTTTCTTATTAATTTTTTTTATAAATTTCAGCAAATAATTATTTATTTATAAAACCAAAGAGGATTTTCTTCTTAAGTATATAAAAATGATTTCTTAAAAAAAAATTATAATAATAATACTCAAACATGTATCAACTATTCTGGTTTGAGGGTTGATTAAAATAAATAAGGTTTTGCTTATTTAGATAAAAACCTGCAAATGATTTTTTTTTTGCCGTTTTAAAATAGTATTATTCAAAATATTCCATATCTTTTGTAAACGGATTAAACCTATTTTTAACCGATGTATATCTCTTTGATATGTGTGAACAATGAAAATTCGTTTTAAACAAATATAAACTTAATAACATTGCAATTTTTTTTATAAATTTAATTAAAAAAAAATGTATACGTATATTATTTTACATTATGTAATTTCATATAATTTTTAGTAAACAATATATAATTATTTAAATGAATAAAAAATATTATTTAATGTATTTTTGTTAACTATATAAAATAAAATTATAAATTTTATGATAATTAAGGTTATATAAAATATAGTGATAAAAAAGTGTAGTTATAGTTCCCATTTGTACATACTTGCTCTATCGACAAAATATTATTCTTTAAAGTATGAATTAAGAATTAAGGTAAAAAATTAATTTAAGAACTGTGTTTTTGCTGTCATATTTTTGCTATTTAATTGTTTATTAATATTATTACAGTTTAATATCTTTTCCTCTCTGCTATAGAGTAGGATAAAATTGTCCAGAACTTAACTATTTCCTATAAATAAATCTGACGAGCAACAAACACACAATTGACGTTAAAAGCTGGAGAGGAATATTCTGAGGATCGAGAAAACACATTTGCGGAAAAAGCTATAAATATATAACGCGCTTTTCTATGGCTTCGCGAGCCCGGAAAAAGTGCCAAATATAACAATGCAATAATAGAAATCGTCCACATTAACTGGCATTTGGCGGCAACACGAGTGGAATTGGTGAGCTAATGCTTCGGGAAATGGTTTTGACGCCCGCTAAATAATCGAGTCTCGCCGCCGAGCCGCGACAAGGAGAGAAAAGCGCGCGCCGAGCTACCTGGGGTCGCGCTCGGCGCAGAACGAGCGTGCATTCGCCAATAAACGGCACCCTGCGTTTTTCGCGATAAAAATTTCCGCGAAAAAAAATCCTTAGAGCTAAAAACAAAAATCACGAATTCGAATTTTGGTCTCGCGGGTTATTATGAAAATAAATAAATTTGAATAAAAAAAAATTTTGAAACTCACCGGCCAGATTTGGTGATGACCATTTCGGTGCCGAGTTTGTGGAACTTTTCCCACAGGTCCTTGCCCTCGAGGGTGACTTTGGGGTCGTCGACGACGCCGTCCTCCTCGGGCTGGATGGCGCGCAGGGGTCTGGGGACGGTGGAGCCGGGGCCGTTGCCGCCGGCCGTGGCGACGGCCACGGCGGCGGCCGCGGCCGCCTGTTGCGCGGCGAGGACTTCTTCGTAGGAGGCGCCGGCGGACGCGGGGTGGCCTGGCATGTGAGGTAGTTTGGGCAGCAGGGAGCCAGGGTAGTGCGGGTTCGCCGAAGGGAAGTACTGCGGCTGGGTTAGCAGCGAGCTAACGCTGAAGTCCGTCGGCCTCTGTAAGAGGAAGGGGTGGTACGCAGCCATCGTCGTCGGCGAAGTTTCGGGCGAAACTACGTCACTCTGCTCGAATCTCATGGAGGTAGATTTTTGGTCGGCTTGTTGGGGGCCAATTTTGAAGCTGTCCGTCGGCTACGCACTGGTTTTGAGATATATAAACGTGTCCTCACTCTTCCGGATCACCACACTCGCATGGTCACCGCACCCTCGCGGCAAGGGTGGTTTTTTTTTCTTCTTCTTGGAAGCACTGCGATAATATGCGAACTAAATACGGATGCACCTTGCGCTCGCGAAGCGTCTTCTCTCGGTCGGCTCGAAAGCAAGTCTGAAATGCTGCCGGGTCTTTCTTGACGTGAAGGGGGAGAAAGAGACTGCGAAAAGCGGTGGTGGTGGCGGGCAACACAAAAAAGACAAAACTATGAGGCCCAGGCGTCACACGGACACATCTACCTCGGTGTTAATGAGAATAGCGCTTTGGGATTGGTCGCCTAGACACTTGGCCAGCCAATCGGCGGGCCCGAGTGACGCTAGGGGTGTTGGCACAGTCGTCTCTGACAGGGCAGGCGTGAATGGAGGGGATGTGTTAGACCACGAAAGAAAGGGAAAATATCAACTTTTTGTAGTGTCGCGATGGTGGGGCGGCCGACACTGCGAGAGGGGAAGGATTAACACATGAAGGCGTCATACCGCAGAGCTGCCGCTCTAATGTTCAGATTCGCCCAAAACAACAGCTTCCCACCGGCTTCAATTTATTGTTTGCGCTTCGTTTTCCACGCTTTTCCGAACAATTGACAACGTGGCCATAACTTCCAGGAAATTTAAGCAGCGAATTTTAAGTGAATATTGATTAAAAACTTAAAACGAAAATTGTGATTTTTTTTATTTTTTGGAAAGAAAATTTGAGAAAAATTAAATAAATAATATAAAAGATACAATGCAATTAACAGTTAACGTATGTATTGTAAAACTTCTAAACTTTTCTGAAATAATAATTAAATTTTTTTCCATTTATTTTCCTCACACATTTGCTAGAACTGATTGGGGCTTTTCATTCAAAATTTATGACAATATATTTAACAATTAACAACTTTAAATTTTTATAACAGGTGTGGAAGTAAATTTAATTAAATAAATTAATTTCGTCAAAATACAAAAAAATGTAAAATTTCTTGAGACATACAATATAATAACTTTTTTTTAATTTAACAGCTTTGTAGCTATGTAACGAGATATAAAATTATACCTTTATTATATATTCCTTTTGTCATTAATAATATAATTCATTATATTATTCTATCGTACAATTTGTGAAGTTTTGATTATTATAGTGAGATTAATATTATATAAAAAAGCCCTCCTCAGTGTTTTAATTATTCAGAACAGAAAAAATTCACACCTAACAAAAAATTTATTTAATTGACACGTTTAGGCTCCAGATAGAGTATTTTCTAACATTGGCGGCCAATAAGGTCCGGCTTGAAAACGGGTCTGATTGAGATTTTTTCAGAGTGACTAATTGTAATTAATATGATATTTTTGCTGAACGCCCTATATTTATTTTTAAAATTTGACCGAACAATGAATTTAGCTGCAAATTATTATATTTTTTATAAAAATTGACGAATTCCTGGAATCCTAATAAATGAGCAATTGCATTAGTTTGATAAAAATTCATTTGCTGGAATAGTATAAATACTTTAATACATTGATATTCATGAAATATACACTGAAAAAAAAGACGCTCTAACAGACGAATGCAAGCGAAAAGTTCGTCAATTAGAGCCGCGAGTGCAAGGGAAACGAAAAATGCAAGCTAATCAATTAAACAAACCTTGCGTCGGCCGCGCGTCGAATCGTGATCAAACTGACTAACCGGCGGTTGTCTTCTCTCCCGGCTATCGTCGCTTCGGCCGTTTTGGCGACGATTTTCGCGGATTTTCGGCCAAAATCCGCAAGCAAAACAAATAACAACCATGCTGGATGAAACTACAGCTGATACGGATCATCTGGTCTGAATATGGCGCAATTATCATGTGTTTTCAATGAGAAAGGCGGCAACAAGAGATCCAACTCGACAAAGTTAACAAAATGAAATGAATAAAATGAACTCGGATTTCTCTAAGTTTTAGATTTTTTGGGGCAATGAAGTATCAATTAGATTAATAACTAAAGCATGGGGAATCTCGTGGTGTGATTAATTTTTTGATTCGAGCAACCGTCGTTGAGCTATGAGAATAAATACGCGCCGGCCTCTGCTTTTCGCTTCTCTCTCTCACTCGACGGCTGAACAAGCGGCGGAGAGCAGCGCGCCGGATTCACCAGACTTTTGCGCGAATTTTATTTTTTATTAGTTAACGTTGAGATAAAACATTCAAATTTTCAGCATTGGTAGTGAACTAAATGAAGTAATTTTTTATTTTTTATTTTTTAAAAAATATTAATCTGGAGCAAAGTTATTAACGTTTCCGCGAGAATTTTGTAATTTTAATTTTTAAATTAGATGAATAATTTTAAAAATACAAAACCATACAGAAAATTGGAGCTAATTAAATTATCTACAATTTCTTTCATGGTCTCTAGGTCGTCAAAATTTTTTATATTTACCTACGGGATGACCAAAGTCAAAATATTATTTTTTCTTAATGAAATAAATTTTTTAGAATTTTTTGAAGATAGCCAATCGATTGGAAATTTAATTTTCATCCTAGAACTCAAATTTTGTGAAAATACAATCAGAAGTTTTGAAATAGGAGTATCCGTTTTAAATGTTGCTACTCGGCCTTGTCGGCAGTTTAAGAAGGCATCCGTTACTTATTTATAAATACATATCCGTTTAATATATTTTGATGAAATTTGAGTTCTAGGATGAAAGTTAAATTTCCAATCGATTGGCTATCTTCAAAAAATTCTAAAAAATTTATTTCATCAAGAAAAAATAATATTTTGACTTTGGTCATCCCGTAGGTAAATATAAAAAATTTTGACGACCTAGAGACCATGAAAGAAATTGTAGATAATTTAATTAGCTCCAATTTTCTGTATGGTTTTGTATTTTTAAAATTATTCATCTAATTTAAAAATTAAAATTACAAAATTCTCGCGGAAACGTTAATAACTTTGCTCCAGATTAATATTTTTTAAAAAATAAAAAATAAAAAATTACTTCATTTAGTTCACTACCAATGCTGAAAATTTGAATGTTTTATCTCAACGTTAACTAATAAAAAATAAAATTCGCGCAAAAGTCTGGTGAATCCGGCGCGCTGCTCTCCGCCGCTTGTTCAGCCGTCGAGTCGTCGAGTGAGAGAGAGAAGCGAAAAGCAGAGGCCGGCGCGTATTTATTCTCATAGCTCAACGACGGTTGCTCGAATCAAAAAATTAATCACACCACGAGATTCCCCATGCTTTAGTTATTAATCTAATTGATACTTCATTGCCCCAAAAAATCTAAAACTTAGAGAAATCCGAGTTCATTTTATTCATTTCATTTTGTTAACTTTGTCGAGTTGGATCTCTTGTTGCCGCCTTTCTCATTGAAAACACATGATAATTGCGCCATATTCAGACCAGATGATCCGTATCAGCTGTAGTTTCATCCAGCATGGTTGTTATTTGTTTTGCTTGCGGATTTTGGCCGAAAATCCGCGAAAATCGTCGCCAAAACGGCCGAAGCGACGATAGCCGGGAGAGAAGACAACCGCCGGTTAGTCAGTTTGATCACGATTCGACGCGCGGCCGACGCAAGGTTTGTTTAATTGATTAGCTTGCATTTTTCGTTTCCCTTGCACTCGCGGCTCTAATTGACGAACTTTTCGCTTGCATTCGTCTGTTAGAGCGTCTTTTTTTTCAGTGTATTAAACAGGTTTTAATTTTATGATACATTGAATAATTTTTATATTTTATGATTTAAAAAACATACATTTTTCAAAACAAAACATGATAGGCATGATACTAAGTGAAAATTAGTTAATTTAATTGAAGTATTAGTTATTTCTTAGGAAAATGCAGTATAATATTATATTATTCGCACATGTTTTTATTACAGTGTATTTTTAGTCGGCTTTTACAAAATTGACTGATTTATAAAAGGTTTTTAAACAAAGAAAAAATCATATTCACGGATATAGGATCTCTTGAATTATAATTAAATTGCAACAAATCTTAAGTCATGCACATTTCTTGCGATTGCTTGTAAAAATTAAAAAATAAAATAAATTTTCCTCGCTTTAAGATTTTGTCGAAACATTTGCTATTCGAGAAGCAAGCAGATTGCCTCTGTGCAGGGAAAAATGTCCCACCGTCCAACAACTGAGCTGTCAGTCATGTTATTTAAGTAATTTAATATTTAGTCGCATTAACACTTTACAAAAGCATGCGAGAGGCAAGGGAGGAGTTAACGCGGTGCCGTGGTAGGCGCGATGGATCCGCCTCTTCGATCTGGAACCTGACACCTGGCGGATGATTCGTGAATCTTTAGTCCCTTGATCCGCCACGACCAATGGCTGCCAATCTGCCGCGTGTTAGCGCAGTGGGGAAATTGCGTAGGACGCTTCGTGGGGAAAGCAGCGGGCCTCCGCCGATAAAACGGATCAGCAGCCGGCCGCAGAAAATTCAACTTGAACGAAATATCAAGTGCGAATCAAGTGATTTTAATGGTGTAAGCGCGTCAAAATTTCACCTCCCTATCACACTAGCCACGTTTCTATGGTAAAATTATAATTTGCAAGGGAGATTTTTTTTATTATAAAGCAGGTATGGAAAGTATCCTTTTAGATAATGCAAACTAAAATATTTGCATAATGTTCAAAAACTTTTTGTGATCAATCTGAAAATCCATATTACTGATTTCAAACAATAATTTTTTGCAACGCATAGTTTTTCAATAATCAAATTTAAAAAAAATTAACCTAATCTTTATTAATTAGCTATTTTTTCTTGTTTTTTAAGTTTTGTGCTGAAATACTTTTATTTATTTAAGTAAAAATTGAAAAAAGTTTCAAAAAAGTATAAATCAAATGATTTGACAAATAAAACATTTCGATATTGTTTCTTCACTGCTGTAAATTGCAATTAATTTTTACGTTTAAGTTTTTGCATTAATTAAACAATTTAATATTGGTTTTTAAAATAAAATTTAACCTTATTTTTTATTAAAAAAATAAATTTAAATTTCTGTGATTCAATTTTTTTTGGGATTTTTTTAAATTGCTCTTAAAAAAGTGAATAATTTTTTATGCACTTAATACATTATTTATTTTTTATTCAGGGTTAAAGGCTTAGATTTTCTTGACTTTTCATCCATATTTAATATATAGATCAGTAAAAACTCCAATCAATTATAGCGGATGAGTGTGATAAATCTGTCGATGCTCGGCGGCGCATCTACACTGTGGGGATGTCGGGGCG